TGTTAGGATACATGTCCATGATGGATCAAAGATGGTCGACTGGCAGGCATCTTGTTTTTGTTTTGTTATGCGGTATCTTGGACGTGCTCTGTCAGTTTTCATTCAAATTTGTCACATACATGTACTTTATACATGTTAGGATGCATATCCATGACAATTTGTTTCAAAATTGGTAGTTACAGTTTCACTGATTGATGTACCCTGTACCTTGGCGCGCCCAATCAAATAATTCAACTTAAAATTACCTGAGGTAAAATACAGCTTTTCCTGCCACGATGGCACTTGGGTTCGTAAAAACGGCTTTGGGCGCTGTGGGAATCGGCATTAACGCCATAATACTGTTCCCATCACGGGGAGCCCACGAAGTGTAATAAACTGTACCCCCAGGCTATATGGGGTAGGGTATTGAATGGTTTCTAGTGTATAAAATAAGACATAGGATGAAGTCTCCAACGATCTTACATTTTAAACTGGACAAAACACAGTTTGAAGAATATTAGCGGCTCTTGTCATACAGACTAGCCATAATGTATATTAAACTTCATGGGCTCCCTGTTTGTGGTTTCCATTGTTAAACTAAAAAATTACATTTGTGACCAGATCGAAGCAGAAGAATCGAGTGTGATATTTTCGTAGTGACCTGTGTTTAAATCCCATTTTGTTCAATCAATGGGATAACTTATTTTGGGATAACGAGTAAAGGTCATAGTGCTTATCCATTAAAATTAAAAGTACTTCTATTTATATAGTACAGAGCTCTCAGGTGTATTACGAGAGAAATTAGCACAAAAACGACCAAACGTTAACCATTATATTATTGCCAAAAGATCTATATAATAATATACACAATCTATTCAATAAAAACAGTTTCAAATGATCAGAGGTGATGTGTGTCTCAATTGAAAGTAATCACAATACGTAAGATGGATATAAATATAGAGATGTATGCACTATCTAAGTTAATATGTATATTTATGGTTCACCAGGCAAAACAACTGCATAAGCCGGTCACTAAATTTCACAGTTGCCGATTAATTGATCACTACTGATTGTAGTTCTAAGGTTGTCGGTGTTACCAGTCGTTGTCGTTTACATTAGATTGTCGTGAAAGTAGTCCGACTTACGTACAAGCAAAACTTATCACATTTACGGCATATTTCCAATTAATTATTCTTAACTCACACGTTCCAAGTATGGCATAAATATATATTTATTAATAAGTCCTATGTTAAATTAAATAATTAATTATGCTGAATCGTACGGAGCTTTCAGGAAATAAATATAAATACGCCGTATTTACAACGTACAACTTAATAATTGAGCCGTACTTGCAACGCGCGAAATATCAGTAAATTTATTATATTTATGCCGTACGAGTTATAAATATAACGTGCAACGGCCAGAAATCAATCGATATTATATGGCCGTAATTTCCATAGCCGAAAAAACAATGAAAGCTCCTGTCGAAGATGGCGCTGTAAGGCTGCTTCAATCGTGTGTAACTAAACCATAATCTACAACATTGAGGATTATTTATTGTTCATACCTACATATCAAGCAACGTATAATTGCGTCTTGTATTATTATTAATAATAAACATTTTATTATTGCGGGGTCTGTAGAATTTGTCTCAACGCAACAACACTATCTTCTTTATCAGTTTGTAATATTAATCCATCGCTCTAATCGTGCAAAATTATTCTGCCCTCGTCGAATGTATGTTAATTAGTGATTTTTTTCTATGAATTACCGCTGGTTTTATTTGATATTGATAGTTATTAGAAACTGTGTACATCATTAGTGTCTAACTTAAAGCTCAACAGTTGGCTCCCAGAGCGTGTTCGATTTTCATGTAAACAAACAATGTAATATACACGCTTTGTATATGTCCAAATAGAACACGACGCGCGCGATGGCAGTAGGGCTTTAAACGTGGTACGCAAAATTTATATATTTTTCCCATTTACGGTACTGTATTGTAATGTCTTAAAAGAAGTGCACGACATTATGTACGCACTTCGGGTTCGAGGTTATTAGCATATAATGTTTTCATTTGGGTATTTACGCCCCTATCCCAACAATAAAAAATGGATTGAATATAACGTATTCAACACTTGTATAACCAATATACATTTGAGGAACAAAGTCAAATTACATTTCTTTTCATGACAACTCGTCTCGTTGTTTGTTATGCACTCGTTGCCAAGCGTAAATTACAAATAATGGTTCCTCGTAACAATTACTACGACATGCATAACGAATTTGACGAGCTTGTTGTACGTCGCACATTGTCGTTTACGTCGGTGTATTTAGAAGCGATGTGGTATTTAGTTCACCGAGTACATACCGTGGCATTTCAATTCTGACAATGACATGACATCAGTGCTCAATATTTTCCGAATATCATTACTGCCAGAAAGGCGATGTTGAGTATATATTTTTTT